AGCAAAATAAGACGATTTATTTCGATGGTATATACCATGGACTTATCGTTTCTTGTTTATGTGATAAAGGAGGTAAAAAAAGCTTATCGTTGAGCTTATTTTATAATTTTACTTATTAAACTAAAAATTTTCCCCAGTTTCAAATGATCTAAATTCTTTTGCAAAATTTTAAAGAACACAAAGTTTTAAATAGATAAATATAAATTTCTAGCACAACAAAATGTTGTTGGAATAAACTAATTAATATGTAGCACCAACTATTTGAGTTGCTTTTTGCACAGCCAACCTCGACCTTTTGACGTCTCAAAGAGGCGGCAGGCGGAGGTGCCAGCGACAACGCGACGAAGTGGCAGTGATTTTGAAATAAAATCGAACAATCTCAAAATCTTAATGACGTCCCACAATATCGGCATTCTTGCCGGCGGCCGCGCGAAGTCGTGTCTCGCAATCGAATGAACCGTGACAATAGAGGTGCCAGATACTTTTTAGCGATAAACCGAAAACGCTCTCGGTGATGGCATCGAAAAACTCGCATCGAAATTATTAATTGATTTACATTGATTATTTCGCCGCGACACGCCATAAATTTTGCAAAGTACTAAATTATCGGCCCAGTTGTTCCGACGTCCACAGGAGCCGTTATGGAATCAAAACTTTAAGCAATTCTGTAGAGATATTTGTCATTTCTTATTTTTGCATTTAAAAAAAACGTCCATAAACACATTTATCCGTCTCGTCTGTTAAGTACCTTTTTATGCCGCAGGCCGGTAACAACAAAATAGTAAGTTCTAAGTGGGATATAACAGCATAACAATCAATTAAGTGTTAAGAAATTTTTATAGTCATCCTATTCAATCTGTGAACAATGCTGGACCGGGCTAATAGAAACTCACGGTTCTACCACCTCCCAACGCTTACAATTGTAGGTACATATGCTTATTTAGTTCTTCACAGAACACAAGAGAAGGATCTGGCGGTCACAATAAGATTGTGATCGATACACGGTAGTACTGGCTACTTTTTACGCTCATTAACAAGTTTTGTCCCATTTTCAATGGGCCCGTGCACAGATAAACGCTCGGAATGAACTAGCAACACCTCTAATTTATTTTATAAAAGAATTTTCCCACTTTCAATTATTAGTTTAATTTTTGCCCCACTTTCGAACGTTTTCTCTTTAGTTTCGAATCATTATCGGAACTTTCGATAGTTTACACGAAAAACTAACTTCTCTGTCGTCTTGTGCGTTGGTGTTTAACGGAGCCGTGTTCCAGGAACGTCTCCATCCTCATCGGCAATCAACATATTAATTCGAAAAGCCGACACCATTCACTTTCTCACATCGTTTCGGCCGTAACTGTAAACGTCGCAGCCTCAAAGTACGCCGGTGGGTCATTACGATTTCCCCAATAAGCATAATGCTAATGCGGGCATTATAATATATTTAATTCCGGTAAAACGAGATAACCATCGGTTGTGTGTCCTTCGATACGTAATTTAATAAACCAAAAGTGGCGGTCTGGCAGAAAGGACAATGCACCAGTTTATGCCACGAAATGGCTCTGCCAGATCGATAAGGCAGGTTGTGTTCTTACATGCCAGAATACCAGCAGAAGGTTTTCAGCTTTCTTAAAAAAAATGCGTCATTTCTGCTTTTAATATCATTAAAAATTTTCACTATACTTTCTTGAGTTAATTATTAACAATATTGATGGAAATTTTGAGAGGTGAGGTGTCATTCTGATTGATGGGGGCCGTAAGAGGTGGGACCACGTCTCTATTCCTCTTCTGTCGTCTACCTGTCGCCTTCTGTGGCACAGAATCCGATCCAAAGTGCCCTAACTTGTTCTGATAAGAGAGTATGTCCCTCTTCCATCATGATCTCACGGAATTTCGGCTCTTTTAGAACTAGGAAACACGTTATCCAGCGCCGATACCCAAAGCTTAAGAATCTTCGAGGAGACGATGAGATATTTAATTTCGACTCGATAGTATGATTCAGCTTAGGCTTTCCGATGTATAACTGTAGTAATTGCTTTCGATGCATTTCATAAGAAATCTTAAAAACAAATTGCAGATAAATGGAATGATAAAACATCTACCGTTATCTCTGGAGCTGAAGGTTTGATAAAAACATCTGAGGCTCTTTCAAATTAAACGTAACAGTAGTTAATCTGATATGAATAAATTAGGTACTTTTTCGAATATTATTTTAGTTAATGATCTAACCAAGCAGAAGAGGACAGAAAATCTGTTTCAGTTTTTTGAGAGCATTCCTATTTTTGACACTCTAAAAACAGTAAAAATTTTACACAAAAAAAAAATTGTAGTTTTTTTAAACTTGAGAAATTTAGATAAAAACCGAACATCTTTATTATTTCGTATGGTTTGGTTTAAAATATAAATCAAAAAGTAAAAAATACACATATACCCGATGGTCAATTACACAATACGCGCCTAAAGTATGGAATAAATTCAGTAAAAACGAAACAAATTTTTTTTGGGAAAAATCCTCGAACAGATTTTTAATTTAAAAAATACATATTTTAGCATAGAAGGCGATTTTCAACCGTCATTTGTTTTCGAGTAATGACGTCATCGACTTTTTTTTAAACGGCAACCCCCTATTTTTTTTCTTGATTCTGAAAGATCGTTTCATTGTCGATCCGACAGTATTAAAATGTTGCCATCTTACATAGGAAAGTTTTCGAGTAAATACTACCTACCTGTGTGCAAATAATTTTTAAAACAGAAAAGAAACGTTTCTGAAAACTAGATTCAGAAGAGTTATGTGTTACTAAAGTTTGTAAGTCATCTATCCTTGTACCATAGAAAATATAGTACTAACATAGAATGAAATGTCCCTAATATTGCCACTAAACCGCGAAACAGCGCCACGTAACGTTTTGGAAACTTACTACTACTTAGCTTCTAATGAGTAAGCAACACTTTATACTTTGTGAATTTATTACAGCGCCATCTATCGTATGCAAACGACTTCTCGCTTATATCCTCTATGTATTATTTAAAAATTTTTAAAAGTAAACCCTTATACAAATAGGAATAGTCAAGTGTCAATACTTTTGAGAACAGATTATTTAGTTAAACAGAAAATGTAGCAAAAAACTAATATTCAGTACTTTTCTAATTCACTTCTGCTTTGATAACGAAACTAGAGGCTTCAGAAACGTCATAGTGTTATTGTGATGTGTATTTGTTTTTCCAGTGTGTAACCAGACTTATACATGTAGATGTATGTCTCTGGCATCTCACTAGTAGGCAAAAGTTTTCAGTATTGACACTTGACTGTCCCTATCGGTACAAGGGTTTATTTTTCCAGTTTTTTTTTTCTTCAAACTATGGCGAAATATCCAAATTATAACAAACATTTATAATGCCACAAATAAAAACAGACAGTTTCTTCTTATTTATTATTTTATTATATTATAGTATTTTTCAAATTTTGACGTGTGCCAAGATACTTAGTAAATGGTTTTGATAAGGAAATAAAACATTTTTTAATAATTTTAAGTTTATTGTGTATCTACAAGAAATCCTAATTGATTATACAGAATGTTGTTATGCATGTACTATTAAAACAATTTCTTGTTATGTATTTAATTGTAAGTAAAAATGACAATTTAATTCATTTGCTTCATAAACTTGATAAGTTGGCAAGTAAGCTGTAAAGATATAAAAATTATGCATGAACTGTTATAATAATCTCACTTTCCGGAGAGTATAACCGAATATTTGTACAATATTGGGTTAAATTCAATAGTTCATATAGTTTGGAACTTTCAAACCATAGAAAACTCAAACTGAATAAAGAAAGCAATTCACCACCATTAAAAATTTTGTAAGCATCTAAGTATCAAAGGTTTCATAAAATATTAGTTGGGGTTTATCATCATACACATAATTATTTTTATCTATATTTAACTTAAATAATATGTAATTACATGCACATTTTATGTTGACTGTTTCTAATCGATTAATACAAGTAACGAGTATGAATGTTCCATATAATGTTGGTAAAGATATGGGTTTGGTTTTTAATAAAACTATATAGCTTAAAACTTTCACATCGTATTCCCAGTATAATATAAAAACAAATAGAAAACTCTTAAGCACTAAATAATTATAAACACAATTCTTGCAATACTATAAATACTATAATTTACAATTTTCAGAGGATAACCTAAGAAACCAAAGATAACGTAAGCCAAATTTCAAATACGTGCAAAGTTCAAACTGCATTACCAACCAACCCAAAATGACAGGGTTAGCATTCTCTACGCCATCTTTTATTTTGGAAGCTAACTAACATGTGACGCCGCCATGACAGTTTCATTATTCATATGTTAGATTTAATTCTACGTTAGTACTATATTTTCTATGCCTTGTACCTAAAGCGTTCCTTCAATTGCCTAACAATATTGATTGGGATTACTTCCAATGTCGATCCCTGGGAAAAAATACATCCCCGACAAATGATATGATAACGATATTATCGATGTCGAACACGTTTATACCGGCCTAAGTACGCTATAATGTATATATATACAATAACATTTATCACCTGACTGTGTACCGATGTGGACTGAGATACAATGAATATTTTTAAAGAAAAACCTATAAATGTTCACATCGTAAATTTTGAAATACGCTCAATATAAACATAGTATTATTTTAATGGGGGACAGAAGAAGTTGCAACGGTGAACCGTTTGACATCTTACGGTATGAATGATGGGCCAGTAAATGTCTGAATGTGTTTTATAGAAGTACGCGAAATGGAGATATAAATTATGTAACAATACTAAATGGAACTGTAGCGGCCTTGCTGAGATATGAGCGTTATTGATCTGTTCTGGTTGTTACCAATACTTATGTTGACTTATGAAAATAATTCAGTATTAATCTTCGGCTAGGTACTGTAGATGAAAGCATGGCGGTTAGTACAGATAAAGACGTTTGTGAAACTATAATAGCCTTTATTGTTCAAGATAAACAACCAATCGTTAAATATAACATTTTTAATTTACTTACATTATAAAATAATAATTAATTACAGCAGTACAGAAATATACAAATCAGTTCTTTTCGTTTTACAGATATCAGTACAAAAGGAAATCACAATTTGTTTCAATCAGTACAATATTTCTCTAAGTTTATTACCTACAACGAATAATATTCGATAAATATATCTAATTATACAAGAATACAAAAATTTACTATGCCAACATGATTTCAATAAGTTTTTTTCTATAAAATTTCAATTTAAGAACGTTGTTTTCTAAAAAACTAAATTGAAGAAGCTCCCTACCCCTGATTAAACCCTCTCTCCTTTATCTCAATGTTTTCCTGTTCCTTGCCGATGAGGAACTGCTGGATTTCTTCCAGCGTTTTCCCCTTAGTTTCCGGCACATACTTAATAACGAATATCAGACCGATCAAGCTGCAAACTGAGAAACAAAAGAACGGCACTGTCATAGTGCCGAATTCGTCCATAGCTATTTGGAAAAACTTCGAGACTATCGTACCCATCATAACAGAAAAGCTGTCAGCTATGCATAAAGCTTTGGCCTTTACACTTGTTGGAAACAGCTCACTTAAAACAGAAACAGGCCCAAAAGACAGTCCAATACTGAACAATATGTTGTACGATACAAGAGCAGTGATTGGCAGCCAGTCTAGAGTCTCCGTGCTTCCAAAGTTGTAGTCTTTCATGTAAAAGAACAGGGCTAACAGAAAAACTGAGATAGCACAACCAGCGGTGGAAGTTATCATCAACAATCTTTTCCCGAACCTGTCTACGATGAAAATAGTTGTTATAGCCACGGCTATTAGTTCTACACTGCAGTAGATGATTACTGACAACGTAGCGTCGATGCTGGTACCAGCCTCTTTGAAGATAGTCTCCGTGTAAAACAAGCAAGGGTTCTTTCCACTCAATTTATTGGTCAAGCAAAGGATGAGGAAGATACAGCAAGCCTTCCTGTTGCTGGACACTGTGAACAAATCGAAAAATCCTGGTTTCTCGTTTCGTTCTTGCCTGATGACGGCTTTGCACAACGCATCCATTTCATCGTCAACACTTGAAGTCCCTCTCAGTATTTCCAAAGAATTCTTAGCTTCTTTGTGGTTGTGTTTCTTGATATAATAGTACGGTGACTCGGGCATGAAGACGAAAGTAACGAAATGAACGAGGGGAACCGCAGCACAAATCAAACTTGAAGTGAATATATCCATCGTAGACCCTATGACGTTTATGAACAAAGTCCCAGTGATGGCGAATATGGCTATAGTCGCTGTGAGGAATCCTCTAATCTTAGGATCCGAAATTTCTCCAATGTACATCGGAAGCGTCGTATACAACGCTCCCTCAGTCCCTCCTATGATGAACCTCAAGCTGGTTATATACCAAATGGAATTGGCAAAGGCTATGGCAACAAAGCAAGCGAATACTATGGGGGCCATCAGTAAAGTGGTGTTCTTCCTTCCTATTTTGTCGGCCAAAATAGCAGCTAAGACTGCTCCGAAAGGTGACCCCAACAGCGGTGCTACAGCACACCAGGAACCGTCGTCGCTCGTGGTAGGGATTGTTGAAGAGTTTGATGTCAGTTTGGGGATATAGGGAGAGGTCCAGCCTAGGTTTATCCCTGAACTCATTACTGAGAAGGCGCCTAGAAAATTTTTATCATTTTACGTTTATCTAGTAACTTATTTTTGCGATATAAAACTAATGTTTAATTCCTTACAATAATCTGTACTATTAAACAGCTGTTACAGTGCCTATCAATCTAAATTTATATTTGAAAACAACCAAGGCATCCTGATAACTCAAAAGTAAATAATGCTTAATTATATTTGAGCTAAAAGATAACAATAGATTACAACTGAGGTTTTTGGCATTTGATGTGGAAAATAAAGCTTGGATTTTACAGGACAGGTAGTATAATTTATTATTACAAGAATAATGCAAACAGAATTAAGAGAAAGGTAGGACTATTATGATTTTACAGGGTGTAAAAATATTTCCAGAGACGATTCCTTGGATTATTTTAAGAAAAAACGTTCATACTGTCCCAAAAGCCGAAATGCAGGATGTTTAAAATATATAATTTTTAACGTAGAGTAATGAAACTGATTTAATTAAGTAAAGGTACAAATTTTCTGAATTTTTAAATAATTATCTTAACCAGTAGCTGAGATAAAGGGAGGTTGAGGGAGAGGTATAAAATGTTTTGTTAAAATGCAGTTTTAAATATAATGACACCATTAAAAGTCCAAAAAAGCATAGGCATATATTTTTTTAGAAAATATCTTCAGAAATTGGGTGAAAAAAATTGTACAGAATTTTTTCCTTGAACTAAGAACTCAGAATTGACTAGTTTTCTGAATAAAATCCAAGAAAACTTATTTCTAAGAAAACAAACAGAATTTAAATGCACTGATCAAATTTGCAAGGCCACACTGAGGCTCTTAGACACAATGTCTCTCGGTATTTCCGCCACTGATTGACATATTTAATGAATTTTTGTCTCTACTTAGTTAATTCACTAGCCCAAGTTTCAACAGTCTTCGTCAAATATCTTCAGAGACATTTTTCGAAAATTATAACACACACATGTTTAGGACATAGGTTTATATGAATTTTTTTCGTAAATCGATTTAAGGAAATATTTTTACGTATATCCTTTTTTACAGGCCTTTATAAAATATGGAGTTTTTTAAATTATTTTAATTTGATGAAAACTATCATCAGAATTTTGCATTTCCCTCGAAACCCAGAAAATTTTTTTATATTCAAAAAGGATAATAAAAATGAACCTATTTATTTATTTTTGTTATTCTATTTCTTTGTGGTCGCCCTACCGCTACCTAACAACTTGCACATACCATAAAATAAACTTTTATTAAAAAACGAATGTATGTATTTCATTGTATTTCATTTGTTTGAAAATAATCTGTGCAAGGTACCTGCAATCGTCGCTAAATACTGAAAAACGCTGCCCTTGTTATAAAAAAATCGTTTCTTCAGGTCGAGCACCATGTTTCTGCCTTCAAGTAAACCACTGAAATAAAAGTTGTAAATCGGCAAACGCCTTTTAAAGTACCTACTCTCCTCATAAAATTCTAATTTTAAGTGCAATTTTTTAAACGTTATCTTTCCTCAAATATTTACTTGGGGATTGATGGAACAACATCATAATACGTGACAAAAAGAGAATTTAAAATAAAAGACATTGTTAATAGCTTACCTTGATTTATTAAGCGATTTTTCTTTCTTAGGGTGCTTTAATGTTATTGTACTGGCAGTTTCCATAAACATACTACGTTTGAGATAGTTGTACGTCATTTAAAATGTACACTTAGCTAATTCTAGCTGTGTCTAGACATTTTTATAAATTATCTTTCGGAAATTTATTGTCACTTAATTGAAAGTTAAAGGCAGAACAAAGACAAGTCTATTTATTTTCTCAATAGGTAAATTTCGGTGTCGCTACAACACTTTAAGGATTAGTACATCCTTAAGACTTATCACCAACTCGGTTTCTTTACAAATTGCTGCGGGTATATCTCGGTTGATAACTCCAAAGGACACTCTTAAGTGCTGTGACTGATTAAGACTCAATTAACACTCGGGCTCTGAAAAATGATCCCGTCCTCGGGTCTTAGCATATACTTAAAAATTTTCTATAAATCACACAGGCCAGCGACACAAATCTACTACCGTTCGACTTGTTAAAGTGTACCGCACGATAATATGACTTTAAAAAGATTATTAAAGAACCCAAAGATGATCTGCTTTTGGCGAATCGTTCACGGTGTTCTATAGTTTTTGCTGGCGGTTATAATAATGCATACTGCATTTATTTACCATAAAATACAGACTTATCGAGAAATAGTTAACAATTTAAAAACTATAATAGTTTAAATTTCAAAAATCTTTCTGTTTTGTATTGTTTGAAAGACGTTTTTTACATATCAACGTCGCCTGTCGCTGTGACTTCCTCTTTACTCCTCTGTTGTCCAAACGGTAGATACATCTATTAATTCATACAAGGATAAGATCGCAAAAAAACACGGTCGGCAGTCGCTTATTCCTGGTAATAACTGCCTCAATAAACAATGTGTCGTTTGAATTTTTTGTTCCATTTTGATTTATAGACAACGTGCCCACTCACAATGGCTTGTTATTAATTAATATCAGTCTCCAAAGCTCGCCTAGATTTGAATTAACCGGGCGCATATTTTTGTAAGTAGCTTGTTGAAATTCTATCAACAGGTTAGAACAAAGGATGACGCCAAGTCTTCACACCGAACTATTTTTGTACGAAGCCATTTTCTTACGCCTGTTTACTTTTATATAGTGGGTTTGACATCCATCTGTGTATTTTGTGGTGCACTATAAACGTAATTAGAGTCATGGGAATTACCTAATTTTATATTCGATATACCAAGAGGACACCACTGGTGCCTACAGTACTTAAACATCCTTTTTATTAAAAAAAAACTGTGACTGGAGTAATTAAATGTAATAAAACTTGGTAAAAAGACACGAAACGTGCGAAAGGTCTCATATCAGAAGTAGTTTTAATGTTTTATAAAGATTAGGAAGAAGGCAATTTTTATTTTTATGCCTCATACTTTTAGCAATAAAATAAGTGTTGTTTATAGTCGAGCAGCGTTCTTGGAATGGAACAAAGGTCCTATAAAAGAGCATTAATGTACTGAGACTTATAATTGCTTCGTGTTTTTAAGCGACAGGGAGATCGAGTTATATCAGGAAGATTTAATACAAAAAAAAAAACAGGAAATATTTTCTTTATTATAAAACGTAAAACTACAAAAAAAAACATAACTAGTCATTTACACTACAAAGTATTAAAAGCCATAACTCCTCAGATGATTAAAAAATATCTACATCAGTGATTTTTTTGGACTTTTGATGGTTACATCGTATTGAATTTCAAACAGAAAATTCTTATACATTCTTTTTGTGGCATGGATAGTTTTCGAGCTTTTTGATTAAAAAAATAGCTTTCCGAAAGAGATTTGCAAGACCTAGACATAAAAGAATCATTAAATTATCGTATATATTCCAAAAGGGAGCCAATATGAAGAGAAGTTTTGAAAATTATAAAGAAAGTGTAATTAAAAGGAATAAGGAGAACAACAACTTATTAAGATCGAGCCAATTAATGGCCTTATGGAACTTATTTTCTGTTTGGAAATCACATTTGCATTAAATGCTAAATAAAATAAATCAAGTTTTATATCACCTTGGAATGGAAAAATTCAAAAACTCGAAATTAATGTTTTTAGATTAATGCCCTGACTTCCAATATGGTACAATATTAACACCTATGTTTAAAAAAATTGCATTATACAAGTTGTGTATCCTTAGATGGTACTGCTCTCTTATTGTTGATTTCTTTAGATAGGTAAAATAATTATTGACACAAGTGTTGCATATCATGGATGAGGATGCCATTAGTAGTGCTCATATTTGTGACACAAGGTGTTCAAAAAAATTAACACAATGTAAAATTGCTGGAACCTCAAAAAAAAATTTAAAAAATTACAATGGGTTACTCTGATATTTGGAGGAAGAATCCCGTCAACGAATACTAAAAAATATTATTAGAAACCTTAGGTGGCCAGAAAACAGCCCCGATCTCATTGTCAGTCCTTTAGACATATATTTTTTAAAGACCTGAAACTTTACAAGTATTGAAAGAAAAATACAGGATGAAATGCTTGATAATTTTGAATTTGTTTTTGAAGCAATTAATAGTAAATTAAAACATATTTTCAACTGTATCATCACAACTACTTGCATGTTGATTTGTAAAAATTGTAGGTATATTAATGTTATTTCGTTTTTAAGTATTCTCCTTATGTTGTTGTAAAGGTTAGTTATAAAAATCGTTGTTTGTTATTTTCATAAGGATGAATTTTAATTTTTTAATGATTTTTTTTATTTTAAACATATTTTATGCCAGCAAATTTTGATGTCAAATGAAATAAAAGTCCATTTGTATTTAAAGTTTCTTTCTATATTTAATTTTTAAACCTATAAGTGGATGTCAAAATACAATAAAAGCATGTACCTACAATCTGCGACGTACTAATAACCCACCTTGTATATTAAATAAATTTATCGTCATCATCAAATATTAAAAAAATTATATTACAAGCTGTTTAAAATCTCATTACGAATTTTGTTTATTTGGAAATATATTTTCTGCAGTATTTCAATACCAAAAAATGAAAATAGTAGGTAGTTAATTAACGAAATTATGATTAAATAACTTAATTGTAACACCGCTGCAGAATATCATATGAAACTACATAGATATTCGTTGATTCTTTAAAAACATTTTTATCAATACCTACATCAAACATTTAAGTAAATACAGTAACGCAAAAACAGATATTGATAAAAAAGTGTACAAAAGAAATCCGTAAGTACCTACGTCTGGCAACATTACCAAAGTCTTGTTTATATGTCGCTAGGATACGCGTGGGTATGCGGGCCGCTGTATTTGATTCTTCCTAAAATTCTGCTGGTGGTGTACTCTACCGGCAATTCGGAAATTTAAAACTGCTGGCATATTCCAGTAGCGGTCTGTGGCGATAGCTATTTTGTCTGTGGTACATCACATGTTGATAACACTGGCTTGCGATTCGAATAAAAATCGAAATGAAATAAAAATTTACATCAGGACTGAATTTTCCGTGTACTTGCCAAAAATTGGTCTCTCATATCGTTCTTATCGTCAAGTCCTCAATTGCAAGACGAGCCGGAGCCATCCTTAGGAATCGCATGTCTCGCGCAATTTGCAATAACTCAATCAGCTGCTCGGCTGCGTCAAATTTGGGCAATCTCCATTGAATTTTCGCCAGTACGCGCACACCGCTGAATAAAACATAATTTCAGATAAACTTGATATAAGACTCACCCCGGGCTAGTATTGTAATAATGTTTAATAAGTGGCCGATTACAGGGTTTACCGATGGTAATAGCCGATCAACTCACCTCCGATCCGCGATCTCAGTCTGTCGCGCGCCTCGGCCGGTAACGTTATCTGCCTTATCGATGGGGGTGTGCCCGCACAGTAGCGGGCCCCCGGCTACCACATGCAAATGCACTTTTACATTTTACACAAAATGCCGACAGATACGGAGGTTTAACAATTCTTTCGAATAATGCTTTCGAGCTCCTGGGTTTCGTAATGGCCCGCTGGTCGGTGGATCGTGGCTCGAAGCGCTCCTGGAACTTTAAAAACAACAACTGTTACGTTACGTCGTCGGGTGATCGGCCCCGTATAAAGCTGGTGTTAGAGGTATCCTAATTTTATAGCACAAGGTGTCCCGTTAGTGAAACACAACCGATCAGACTCATAATTTCAGAAGTGTTTATGAGATTTCAAAAATAATGGTTTTCCACAATCACTGCGGAATAAAAAATCACAATTATATGGCACATCTAATGTAACCACAAAACGCCATTATCATTTCTTTTGATAGATAAATTATTGACTATAATTTACATTTCCTTATTAAAATAGGCGATAAATACTTTTACACCATGAAAATTAGCGAAAATAAAAGAGAAACTCGAAAAAAGTCTTATCCGCGAGAAAGGAACATAATACAAGACATCTCTCGTCTCGTGAGTCAAAAACTTTTATTAGCTAACTTTTCCATTTAAACAAATAAGTGAGGAAAACAGTTTTTTCACGAATGTATAAATCATTACCATGGAAAATACTTTACAGCACTATACTTTCTCTAAACTGACAGATAAATAGGTCTTTTTTAAATATGCAACTATTTATTTTTTATTGTTTTTGATAATTCTTCAAAATATGTCAATAATATTATTACTGGATCCAGCCGTCTGCCAATATATTCATTATAATTATTGTTTATATCACAAGAGGCACAACGTTAAGTATATAAGCCAGGTTATCGAAAGTAAATAAACATGGTCTTGTGGCTCAAAGCGTTACGCGTTGTCATACTAATCTAAAGGTCCGGGGTTCGATCCCTGATGAGGTATGGTTTTTTTTCAATTAATATAATATTTCGAATGTAATTTTTCAGCGTCCACATTTCAAGACAAATATTTCCATACTAGTTGCTGGTCACGAAGTGAATAATTTCTCACAGTGTTGCCAAATATCTGCTGATTTGAGGCGCGTTAGATTGCTTGTTAAATTCGGCCAGAAAATCATGAAATATAAAATACAGATAAGTAGGTGTAGACCAAGCAAATCCGCGAGATTATTGTAAAATTATCTAAAGGAACATAATACAAGACATCTCATCTCGTGAGTCAAAAACCTTCATTAGCTAACTTTTCTATTTAAACAAATAGGTGAGGAAAACAGTTTTTTCACTTTGCAGGGAAAACCATCAATTTTAGCGAAAAGTGACTCACAGACAGCTTCTAGGGAGTAAAATTATCTACAAAATGAGACTTGTTCAATTAAAATCGGTTAATAAACAAATAAGTTATTGCAAAAAAACAAGAAAAGTGCCCATTTTTTTAATACTTATCTTGGCTCCTGTTGGTTGTAGAGGGTACTTTTTTATTTTAAAACTGTATTTTTTTGCCAGCTATCCATTGCATCTATTTTCGGTGAGATAGCATAAATAGCAACAATGTTATTCAAATTGTTTATAAGCGAAAAACGCACGGTTTTTTAATGCACAATTTGAGAATGTTAATGTCAAAAAAACGGTGATATTTTTTAATAGGTCACTTAATTACGTCTTTAAGATTGCAATGACACTTTCAGAATCATGTTTGGTTGAAAATTAACGCCTGTACAGAGGCTTAAAGTTCATAACTTTTGGAGCCTCCGTTATAAACAAATTGAATTGTGCGAAAACTATTGCACCTACAGCGCCCACTTTTGGCACACTGTTAAAGTATGACAAAACCCTCAACTTGTCATAGGTTTTATAAAATTTTAACAATAAATGCGATAGTTATAAACAAATTAAAATATGGGCACTTTATTGTTTTTTGCAATAACTTTTTTGTTTAATAACCGATTTTAATTTAACAAGTCTCATTTTCTAGATAATTTTGCTTCCCTACAAGCTGCCTGCGAGTCACTTTTCGCTAAAATTGATGGTTTTCCCTGCAAAGTGAAAAAACTGTTTTCCTCACTTATTTGTTTAAATAGAAAAGTTAGCTAATAAAAGTTTTTGACTCACGAGATGAGAGATGTCTTGTATTATGTTCCTTTAGACAATTTTACAATAATCTCGCGGATAGGACTTTTTCCGAGTAAACATTTAATTTGCTTGGTCTATTTGAAAACATTTGCATGATCCCAAAAAGCATACTTCCTTGGAAAAACAATCCGTTTCGATTCGGACAACTCAATTAAAATCGACAGCTGCTATTAGCATGTCCAGAACCAACGACCGCGTCATTTCTATTCAAAACAGATGCCATCCATCAGCAATTTTCGATTACGGACCTATTTAACGTTGTAGAATGTCACCTAGACAAGATGCCGTCGCCCACCATCTAATTTAATAATATTTGAACCCATAAATTACCGACGAAAATACGTTTTGTCTCCCATGACATATTACCAACTAATTGCGGCTGCAAAAAAAATTCTTACTGCGTCGTTTATTTCGTCCCACCGCGATTTTTTCCCCACTGTTTTTATCGATTTTCATTTAATGATGGCCATTTCCAACGTGATCGATTTCGTCGTGTCATACCGAGTGTTCCCGTCGCATTTTATCGCGACGAAATTCATTAGGATTAATGATCTGATTCGGTTTTGCATATCTGAACCGGTGGAAGTAAAAACTTCTGATAGAATAATTTACGAGGCGTAGTGCCGTGGTGGGAGGCTTTTTGCGCTAGGGGTTATGTCAATGACTCCAAGGCGAGTATTTAAATATCCCCTTCGTACGGCCGACGGATCATTATTCACGCTGTCTATGTTTTTGGCGATAATTCGAAGCCAACCAGGTCCCGCTCTGGTAGCGCCTTCCGTATAGTCGCGATTTCCCAGAACCACAGCTTCTAATAAGCCTAATATTGGAGTTGTCAAAATAGTGATTAGTCATCAATTTTTTTGAAAAGTCTTCATTTGTAAGTACGTACGTATTTATCCCTGTATCAGGAAAATAAGTTAAAATCTATATTTCGAATACAATTAGCTGATTCGCTTTCCACAAATTGTAATTTTCTACATTATTAGAAGTTGTTTATTTGCGGCATACCTTTCGTTTGTAGCCAACAAGCATCCAAGTTCACAGAAATATCTCTAACCGTTCAACTAAATAATTTTTTGGTTAGGCAATACTATTTTCTTGAAAATAATCCTTGCCTCATACATATCACTTGACTATAAAATAACTTTAACCGAACCTTACTACGGCAAGTAGTTTAACAAGCGGGGCCAGTACGGTCCTGTCCCATTTATATAAATGACATCCCCGCATTGTTCCAACCGGGCAATTATCGCTAACAAGTCATCGATCAAGTCAACAAACTGATTTAAATTCAAGTTTACTGATTTTTAAACAAGGCGTATCCCGCTTTTTAACGTAAACCATTAGTTAAGCGGTCGAAAAAAAACCACCGCAATTAAAAGCATATTTCTAATTAATCAGAAAAGAGGAACTTATTAGGGAACTGGGAGTCTTGCAGCGTGTCTACTATTCAGCCGACTACGCATAGCGACGATGTAGGAAATACATTATTAATTTGTTGACGTATGTCATTGCGATGTACATCGTAAGCGGGAGCCGTTAAAAAAACGCTTCAGTTGCTAGTACAGATATACTCCACTTAATTATAGGATAATTGTGACTGCCGTTCGCTGTAAATCAACTGGGATGACCGCCAAGACAAACTCGGTGTTCTCTAACTGGTAAAGATACCATTACGGTTTAAAAAGTAAACCTGCACAGGAAAAAGACTTGTCCCGTCGTTTTAACACTTGTTACAGACTGTGTATCACTGTGTTTCGTGGACTTGGTACAAGTGGAAGAGGTTCGCAGCTGCTCCTGCTTCGATGTCTTTGATTTAAATTTATATTTACACTTTTGTTCGTATATTTACATCAAATATAGTAAAAACACATAAAACATTTGAAAATGCAACAGTATACCTATCGTTAAAATAAAGTATACACTCACAAGCGTGATTTTACAGAACGTATTGTATGTGATCAGTTGATTCAGTGTAATGTGCCAAAAGGAAAGCGATAACTTTTGACTAAGAAGTTGAAAACGTAGCAACTCTCCTATAGTTTCCACAACAATGTTTAGAGGATTATGTGACAGAAAGCGCGTGTCCTATCCACCTACAAATGTTGGGGACCGCTGGCGTTCTAAGATCCCCTCCCGGATCGCGTTTCAAAGTATTCACTCGGTGTAATTGTTATGTGTCATAAAAAGCTGTACGGACATGTTTGTCCTCCTCAGATGCTCCGTTGGTAATTGTGTAAACCAGCTGTGTGAATTCGCCGCAAATGACTTAATCTCCACATTTCCCCGAATCGGGCGCCTTTACCATTAAAACCCCATATTAGAATGACACATGCGCACGGCCAGGCATTCCTCGTTGAACGTTTTCATGGAAGACTCCTTAATGCCCACATCAAATCACGGCCTACTAGGTATGTCATACCTCTTAGCGGAGGAACAAGAGACGCGAGTAATTACAGCGGTTATTATTTGCTTAACATTTCAATTTATCTCCTAACTATATCCTGTTCTGCTCCGGTTACAGAATCTCGGGCTAATTATATCGCTTTTTAAATGGTATTATATTAATTGGTAATGTTAATACACATAGTCATTACCCTCTGTGCAGCTGCGGGTCCGGGGCCTTATCACTTGATGGTATCGGCTTTAACTGGACAAAAATCGCGGTTAATCAGCGTTTTAACTAACCGTCTTCCAGTTATTAAATTCCATAAGTTTTTTCGTTCAAGGCATCCAGGAAGTTCAATTTCTTCCCCAGCGAGTTCTTAGACCTTCAGTGTCGATTCTTCTTGAAAGGAGTTTGATTGCCGAAAACATTGTACTTATTTAATATTGAGTGAAAATGTACTCAATAATTTCACTGAATGTATCCGAACCTTTCTTGCTTTCACTCACACCAATTTTTTTACACTGCATAATAATGTAATGTGTACAGATATGCTCTGTCCACAAGATTCAGGGTGTAGAATTTGAATAAAAATGCGTTAGTCAGTGGTGGAGACATCGGAGTCGCTACCACTCAGAACCCCAGAAATTCGAAAAAGTTGAACAAATAGTCCGGACAAAATAGACATTTCAAATAACGAAAATTCCTCAAATTTTGACCTTTGACCTCGAATAACTTTTTTAGCACACATGGGATCGATGGGGACTTTTGGCACTTTATTTCTAATGGTGTACCCAAGGTCTCCACCAACATTTAGCTCTGTCGGAATTTTCGTTATTTGACCACTATTTTTATGTCTAATTTGACCGGACTAAAATTTTTGCCTAGCCCTAGTTAGTGGGCAACCAAAAAATAGTTCTATTAACAGCAATATTAGAAACTTGAAAACGTAATAGCGAGCGAAGTAAGCAATCAATAATAGTTATATCATATTTTAAGGAATTTAGCCAGGAGCTCGGCTGTAATTAACAAAATCATTCATCAATAAACCTCGGTGGATAATTAACGATTCGTCTCAGCCGGCAATCGCTTTCGACTCTGTTCTGGTGTCGCCCCCGACCGTCCGATAACGGGAGCCGCCGAAAAAGCCGAAAAACAGCGAAATTAGTCTCGGGGAAACGCATGGGTAAGTGAAAGGTGGACCGAAAAGCCCTCAGCACACCGACTTTTTCATTCCGTGGCGGTGAACTTTTCTGTGGAATTCACTCAGCCAAAACAGCTCGGAATTACACTTACGGAATCGGCCTTTTTGTGTTTGTAATTAATTTCGGTCGATCGACGGCGACAAAGCGACACGCATTTTGGACAATCGGAAACTACTCGGTGTTTTAGGCCGGCGATCTGTTCCAAGTCGATGGTCGCGTGAAAATTTTACGATCGGAATTTCTTGGACTGAAACATTGGGAGTTGGGCAAGAGAGCCTAAAGCTTCATTAGTCTGTGAATTCAAATAAAAAAATATAGATTTTATTTATTTAAAACATCTAACGGGCTGAAAACCCAGTAACGGAATAAGTTCCAGCAGAAACAAAAAAGATTAACAAAACCTGCAGTGTTGTCACTTATAATGTATAAAACGAACAATTGTCAAATTGGATTAAAACTGATCAAACAGGTGCAAAAAAAATATATGATCAAACAAAAATAGACAATGGTAGACACATTCATAAATTTTTCAAGATTTCTTTGGAAGAAGACTTAAAGAAACCTCTTTCGCACACTCCAGTATCTTCTCAGGTTCTCAGGTACACCTAAATCTTCATTAGATTCCTCACTCACTCCTGTTGATATTAATAAGTAAACATATGAGACGTCAATGCTTTTTCTTAGGTGTCATATTTTTTTATAATTATGCGATTAAAAATACAAACTGAAATGGGGTGGAGCACCATCGTGCATAAAATACATTTGCAACCTTCATGGCAATGGGATGTCTTCCAAAAGTATGGGCAATTCATATTCAAGAAAATGCATTACCGTTGGCAAGGCCATAAAGAAAATGCATATCGCACATTTCACTATTTGTGTAATTTTCACAAGCAGGAATTGACAACTACACAGTTCAATTACTTATTAAAATCACACACTTAAGCTATTAATTTTTTGTTCGAAAACGAAGCAAGATATCAAAAAAAGTGAAGAAACAAAAAGTTGTATATTTTATTGCATAATTAGAAAAACATGTGACACCTGAGAAAAAGCAGTGACGTCTCATATGTTTACTTATCAATATCAACAGGAGTGAGTCCCCGGATGTCGCTGGAATAGATAAAATAAATCATGTCAGAAGACGCTACCGTTTTTATAAACAAACATACCAAATTTCAAAAAAATCGGAATTAGGGTTATCCAGATATTAGTAAAAACCTTGTATTTTCTCTAAATTTCAACACCCTGTATCTCCGATACGAAGCATTTTCGGACATAGATTTATAGGAACTTACTTTCTTTCTTATTTATGGTCAAGAAAACTTGTGTCTTTTTAATCTCGCAAATTTGCATCCGCTCGGCTACTATACACTTCGCCTCGCAAATATAAAATTTGCTGGCCCAAAATTAACACTTTTAATCCTAATATAAGAATATACTATTTACATTATTCCGACTTTCTTTCGGGTTTGATTACAATGTTGTTTATTTGGCTTTGGATTAGTTTAATAAAATATGAATCGTCTACTTTTTGGATCCGGTACGCCACTGGTAAGGGTGACGGCGGTGTTTTTCGAGCGTACCTGTATATTATCCCGGTGAAGCGAATAAATTAATACCTGTGAAATTAGTTATATGCGACGCGGTGTGTTTACGACGACAGGCGTACTGAATTATTTTTGCGCTCATAATTTGAATAAGCATTGAAACCGAATTTATGCCTCGGTTAGTCAGTGAGCTCAAAAATTATTATGTCTTCCTCGGGCGTGTGAAATGTATCGGGTCGACCACCGGCAAATTCTCGTTCTGTGTGCAAATTTCTGCGGGTTTTGTGTATCTCGCATCTATTCGAAATTTGAATACAATTTTGGCGGATGCAAATCCCCTGCCTTTCTTCTTAGAATGTGTACTTATTTGAATTGTTTTGTATGCAGATCCTAGCATTACCATGGTTTACCATAATGTTTGTAATATTGTCCGAGCAAATCTGTAGGCAGTAAATGGAATACAATAGGAGGTGTTACTTTACTTACCTTATTCTTTAGCACTTTATTTTCCACGATATTAGAAGTAAGCCAGACCGCTCGCACAATGCTAATGCCGTACCGTGCCTAATCCCAATAACCTGCCGCATTGTGGCGGATTTTTACGCCTGTTTTATTCAAATTATACGTCATTCATTCCGCCGGCTCCACTTTCAGCGACGCTCTTCTAGCACCAGCGCTGCTGCTCGGCAAAGGGTAACCCGCGGTGATGAATCTCATTCGCTGCCGCAACAATCAAAATAATTTGATTACGACATTTCACATTTCTTATTCCAACTGGAAGAATCTGAATTGACGCTTGTTGTTAACATCTTCACTCATTTGTGCTTAGCCCATAAAACTCGAGCTTGATGCCCTTTCCGCGTCAACAAAATTAAATCCATTGCAGCGAATTCGTATGCTAATGTGACGTAGGACTGGTCTAGGTGATTTCGTAAACGCTCAAACGTTTTATTTAAAAAAAGCCACGGCGACGGTATTGGGTAAAATACACGAAGCGACCCCTCAATAGCCTTGCCGCGTAGGGCCATTGACCACGGAGATGGCGCTGATAGACGAATGGCGTGGGCCTCTGAATGTCGCGTATGGTTAATATATTTCTCCTCTGTCGTTGGCTGTCCATTAAACTAACGGATTCGACCGAGGGTACCTGGGCTCACAAGAGCGGGCTAATCTTGATGGATTGTACGTTTTTATTGAATTTCGACGCCAATAATGAAAAATTTACATGGGGAGGGTGGGTCCGCCTTCGAACGTTGACAAAAGATCCAACAGTCACCCTGAGAAAGGATGCTAACAAACGAAATTTGTCCACGAGCTATCACAATGGGCCTATATTTAATTTATAACTTGTTTTTACATTTTCGTTAAGCATTTGCAGTATAATTTAAGTTTATTTTGTGGTTTTCGACCACAAATCCTCTAAAATAATCGTGCCGAATGTTTGGACTTCTTAAAAAAAAAACAAAAACTCTTAATCTTTCGAAATCTCATCCTAAATTAACGAGTTCAGATCGCAGTTTTTTTTTCTTGGCGACTAGATTCGGTTCGAGATAAAATATTTTCAGTATTATGGTAATGACGCACGTAAAAAAGGACATTAATCGGCTATAATCACTGTAGCCGCATCACAATGACTTTTTATTCGAAATTTTTACGCCAAATGGTAGCAGCCCGCTTTCAGCAACATACCTTTAATTTCAGACCACGGGATCTTGATGGTACCGACGTTATTTATAGCAGAACTAAATAAAATGCATAATTAAGAAGCTGGAACTATAAAATAAGAATCAAGATGAGGTATTAAAAAGGCTCATATATTCCTACATTTGTTATCTGATTTTTCAAGAACAGCCATAGATTTTACAAACAATAAATTTAAATTAATTGAGAAAGAGATTTTTTTGAGCAGCAATGCAGACTTAAGAGCCGTACCTACAAGGACAAAACGATAAATTGGTTGTTTGCCAGGTGCTTAAGATGCAAACAGCAGCTCTGATTTCAGCTTGAAGAGTGCAGTATATTTTTTTACTACACTTTCGAATTTATTTTTTTCGGAAGTTTGGTAAAAATATAGAGAAAAGTAATGTGGCTTTAAGCTGTATGGTACTACATGTTTTTACTACACTTTCGAACTGTACTAACACTCCTTACCTCCAATAAATTGTGGGAAAATGCTACGATATGCAACGTTGTCTTCCTGTAGACGTAGGCGACGATACTCTCCGCAACATTTTAACTAAAATGACTGCCAAGCGAGCTTGAAAAACGGTATAAACTTATGACGGTACTGATTAATTACATCGGTACGACATGCTAAGATTCAAGGATGCTTGGCTCTTTCATATTTAGAGGTTTATTATGATGTGGTAATGCGTCCAATTACTATTAGCTAGCCACGGTTATAAAAAAATATGAAAGTCGTGAGTCACACGTATCTTTGATGTTAGAGCCGACTGAAAAAAGAGCCTAGTTAAGTATCGGTAGCCCGACGTACAATCTCTGGCATCTTTTGCTGAATTTTCCTCAAATTTGAGACTGTATTAAACTGTATTTCAAACGGCATATGTTACAATTAATTATTGACAGTACCAGAAATACAAACGCTTATATTATTAATTGTATCAAGAAATACACTACAAGTACTTAATTCTCTTGTTTCCAAAGCTGCTCTGCTTTTTAAGTTTAGAGAACGACCGTCCAGTGCTATCGCAATGTCGCCAAGGTCTCCCGATGATTGAATATTCATTACATCAATTTTAGTACACCTGTTAGGAATGCGAAATATCACAAGAGTAAAAATAAATAACTAAATAATTGTTTGTAGCACAATTATATTCTACCCTTTTGCATTTTACAAAGTAACGCAAACTCGCTGCTTCTTAGCTCTTTGTGGATCTTTTTCTTAGAGTAGAACATTAAAATAAAGTAAGTAAAGATACCCGAGTCTGATAAAATTATAAAATCAGATTGCCCTAATAACAATTCATTATTTTATAACCAGCTCAGATTAAGTTGTCGTTTGCATACCGAGAGAAATTCTAATTAAATCTCTATTATTAAAAACAATGCTTTAATTTTCAGACGCGTCATATTTTTTTTCCGAGCTACCAGTGCAATTATGGAAAATAAACTGGTTGGTGTATCTGTGTCTAAGTAATAATTACGCCTGTACGCATCTTTCTCATTTAGAAACGACTGGAAGTGCATCTTCTATTCCTCTTAGCGGTGGTAAGACCTTTTTCGCCATCAGTACTCCCGGATACACTGAAACTAATGTTCATTGAAAATACTTGTATTGTAGCAACAGTTATATCGCTAATTGTGTACATTATCATTGTTCAAAGTTAATATGTCGATGATACTCAATTACTCAAACTGTTATAATGTAATTGAGAAAAACACAAAACTTTTGATAATGTAACGAGTTGTAACAGTTAGGCATTAGAGAAATTTTATTACATTCAAAGATGTTCTGTTTTTTCCAAGAGCATCTTGCTTTTCTCATAACGCCCATATGCAAAATAAAAATAATAAAACGGAAAAGATATTTCATTACTCGTTTAAATTTAAATATGTTCATATCAGCCGTTTTTATTTTTTCTTGCCTATATACATTATTCTCCTTATAAACTCAAACCAAACCGGTGTCTCCAAATTCAAACAAATCGTTCTTTCAGTGGGCTCCCTCTACGCCATCAGTATTCCTCCGGTAATGACGAACCTCCCACCTAAGAATCGAGGTATAATCAGTCATGTCCGAGAAAACACCTCTAAACCTCACTCGACCAGGACTTTGATATATTATTTGTGTGAGAAACAGAGATTAAGAACATCCAGGATTTGTTCCTCAAACTGGTCGTGTCGAAATCTCACACATCTTCAGTTTTCATCAAATTGTTCCTTACAAATGCCTTAATAATGATCTGTCGCTTTACCTGGGAGTTAATTTAAAGGAAAATCTAAACGTTTATTTTATTATTACAACGAAAAGAGAGTGGTGTCAATTGTAACAAAAGTTACACTAATCATCATCAGTCTAAAAGTGTCTAAAATATTTTTTCCAGTATTTAATTCAATGCGAAACATAAATTAGATACAAACGTAGGATAAAATGTAATATTCTAGAAATATAAACAATTGACTTCGATATAAGAAACATTAAATGTTTCTTGAACTGTTTTAATTCAATTCATTTATTCAATCATTCGTTTCAGTTGATAGTCTGAATAATGAAGAAGATGAACGTTTGTCAGTAAATTCAATTTAGATGTCAATTGTAACAAGATACAATCGTCACCAATGTGTATGTTACAATTAACGCCCTCAGACATCTTTTTCGATCTATTTGTAAGAAAACAAGCAACATCAAAGTACATAACTAATGTATACGCTTATTATACACTGATGTAAACAGTACAGCTAAAATTTACAGAAATGATATAAATTTAATGGTTGTTGTTGTTACATTATAAAAATACGAATCTGGTTGTTTAAAATACTGAACAAATGAAATACGTTGTAACTAGGGCATTTCTTGTCTTATTACATTTGACGATTGCCAAGCATGTTTGTTACAATTGACACTAATCTTCCCTACATCTTTTTTGTTCCTGTCCAGGAAATTCTAGTAACACCTTCCTTTTTTCCAGGTTTCAGCCACCGACCCAGACTGCGGCGTGAACGCCATGGTGAACTACACCCTCGGAGACGGCTTCGGCAAGCTGAGGGAGTTCAAGATCCGCTCGGACACGGGGGAGATATGCATAAGTTCAGGCCTCGACTACGAGACTAGGAACGTATACGAGTTTCCCGTTATAGCGACGGACAGAGGTAACTAGATGCACAGTCCATTTAACGTCTTGCCTTGTAATAAGTCCTTATTGAAAATACAGTAGTGTGTAGGGTTGGCAATACGGAAACCGGAGTCGAAGGTACAGCGGCGGTCCTGCCTAGAGCTTTTTTTAGGCCCATTGTTGGCAGCGTGTTGTTAAACGGAATTCATGTTCCTATGGCGGACACTAATTAGTATTGTAAATAACTGATTACGTCATTTTCTGAAAGCCTGCCGCACTTCACAGAAGTATTTGCTGGAAAGGTGTGGTTTTATAATGAGTTTGCTACTGCTAGTAGCCGTTTAATTTTCTATATTCAAATTTTCGGACCCGAATCCACTTGAATACATTAGTGCAAATACAAGGGCGTAGCTGAAGGCGAAAAAATGGGTTCTAGAAGTATATTATACTAAAGAAAATATTTTTTTAGTAGTGTTCAGCTGTTTATTAACAACAACATAACTATTGCTTTTTTAGAAAGAGTGAAACTTTTAAAAACATTTTGTAGCCTCCCTGTAGCAATAGTAGAAAGTGAATTTTTAAGAAATACAATCAGAAAGTAACGTTAAGTGCTTTAGCTGTGCTCAGTATAGAGAATTCGTTCCACGAGAATGTTACTCCCTATTTCCGGACCCACGAGCCGCTAATGATCGCAAAAACAGCATAATCCGTCTTATCTATTATCGCAATGGACGTGGCGGTACGCCAATGGTGTTGGCATGCCGGAGCCATAACCCATTAACTATTTATGAAGTGCAAAGAAGGCAAAACAAAGGTAAAAGCACGATGTCATTCGTTACAATCGATACTCACGAAAACGTGAATCTCTATGTTTCAGCGCCAGAAGCGATTTTTATACTGTATACAAGGTGCGCTGAAATTAACTAGTTCTCAGTTGTTGATTTATGACCGCTGAGCTCTACTGTTGTCGGGTTTCAATAGGAAATTTTCAATTTTTTGCGCGCCTTATCGACGCAGATATATTTTACCGACTAATGGCCGGTTTTATTGAAAAAATAGCCGATGTATTGGTTAGATAGCGCGCTTTCAATTCGTACTGATCCTGCGGAGAATCGAAACGGCGTTACTGCTGTTACTTGGCAGAGTGAGTTTCCTTGAGTGGTTTATTTCGCTTTTAAATCACAATTTTTAAAAGTAGTAGATCGTTGTCAATACTATGCCAGCCAAATCTAAATTTGTCCTTAAATTAGCTAAATAGAAAACACTTATTTAACAAATTTAGTAACAAATGTTACAAATCTGTCCCTGTCAATTGTAACAAGTCAAGGTGTGATTGTAACAAGTTGTAAAATGTTAAGTAGATCGTTGTCAATACTATGCCAGCCAAATCTAAATTTGTCCTTAAATTAGCTAAATAGAAAACACTTATTTAACAAATTTAGTAACAAATGTTACAAATCTGTCCCTGTCAATTGTAACAAGTCAAGGTGTGATTGTAACAAGTTGTAAAATGTATTTTATGATGTCTGACTTCAAATTATTATCAAAGAAGCACTCACTCTACTGTTACTATCTACTAACAAAGAAATAATACGTGTTTGGAATAAATAAGTAATTATTATAATAATATGTCTACCAAATAAATATAAATACTTTTTTGAAATATAGAATTAATGGGAATGGCAGTGTAGAGCCACCTTTAGGTTTATTAAATTATTTAGCGCTTTTATCAATGATGGGGCCTTTTACAAGCGAAGTGCAGTAACTGCGTGTGTAGTGCGATTCATCTCGGCAATGGGGAAAATAAGCAGTTTTGGAAATTGCCAGCCATTAACCCATCAAATAACCAATATTTACCATCGCTCGGATATTTTAGGGTACTAATTATAATAATCCCGGTGCGCGACCGCGATGCCGAACAACCGAGTCGTTAATCTTGCGAATTTTATGGAAAACGAAGGCCTCGACGGGCTTTTCAATTTCTGAAATCTACGCACGGCTCAGTGATTTATGTTCGATATTAACAAACAGCGGATTATTTATCAAATCGGCGGCAATAAATCTTATTTCGTTGGTGAGGGTTTGAGATATAATAGAAACATTTACATAAAGTATATAGAAATGTTCTAGTGGAGCTGGCTTGCGTCGATACGTTTCTAGAAATGTTTCCGCAATGCACGATGTACAGGGTGTACAGTTACATCATGTTTAAGCTTTTGAAAACCATCACAAATACCTAGAAAAATATTTGACTTTAATATTAACTAAATACAGGTAAAAATTCACTAAAAATTCCAGAATTTCGATGACGACGAGTGCTTTGGGAAATTCAACTGAAATTATATGTCAAAGAAAAATCTCTTTACAAAAACGTACCTTCCACTTCTTTGTTATAATCTAAAGTACTAAACATTTCATCAAACATTAAACCATCTCCTCTGTTTTAGGCGGCCTGGGAACGACGGCCATGGTGAAAATCCAAATCACCGACGTCAACGACAACCGTCCCATCTTCTACCCCTCGGAATACAACGTTTCGCTCCGCGAAGGAGGCGCCTCATCCTCAGCCACCACACCTGTAGTGGTGGTAGCGGCGACAGATCCGGATTCGGGTAGATTCGGCACCGTAACTTACAAAATAGTAGCAGGAAACGAGGCTGGACTGTTCAGGATAGACAAAAACACCGGGGAGATTTTCATCACCAGGCCAAGTCTTTTATCCACCAGGAGTCAACCCTACCACCACCTCAACATTAGCGCTAGTGACGGGGGTAACCTTAAGTCCGTCAGAGACGCAGAAGTATTCATCAGCGTGATCGATTCTGCTCAGAGACCTCCGATTTTTGAACATCCTAAGTATACTTACGCTGTAAGTGAAAATGTCAGGAGGGACACCATGGTTGGGAACGTGAAGGCTGCCGTCATGGATAATAGTGAGTTTTAAAGCCTTTTTAATCTTCAGTCAACAATAACCAAAAAATTTAGCTGCCAAAATCAATTCCTGGATCAGTTTTTGGATCCAGCCAAAGCTAATTCTAATTATGCTGCACCAAAAAGTTGTCTTTGCTTCATGTAAAAATTCTAGTAAAACTGTTGTAGTAAATTTAAGCTCGGTGCTATGAGATACAACAATATAAATAATTTTTAAGTAAACAGTTGATTTTCAACGCCAACTACTTTAGTTTCAAGACAGTTTGAGTTAGACTGACACACAACTGATTAAGTAATCAGAATTTAAATGAAATGCACATCAACTAATCTCGGATGACGGAAGTTGGTTGCGTCAATTTAATATGCAAATTGTGTATTACGGAACGTACAAAAACGGAAAATGTAAATAATATAATGATATTAAAGGGAAAAGCAGCATCCCAGACCAGATCAAGGCAATACCACTTTTCAAAGTAATCTTAAATTATCTGTTTACAATTAAATATTGTGTCATGCCAATATTTAGGTGTAATATTCAACTGGAAAATGAAAACTTTTGTTCTAGAATTAAAGAAACGTATATTTTTGCTCGATATCAGTACAAGATCAATCCTGTCCAGTTTGATGGTGTCCGAGGCGTCGCACGGACTCCATCATCGTCCGTATATGTCCCCGCAGACTACATTCATTTTAAAACGAAATAAAATTCAGACATAAAACGCAATTAAAAATCGTAAGGTCATTACCTTAATGAAGACAAGGGTTCTTATGATCGAAGGTCTTCCTTTATTGCAATTTTATTGCTTTATCCTCAGTTACTATCAAACGGAACAAAAAAGTAATTATTTTTTTGCGTATTATAATTACTAGTACATAATAGTAGTTGTGCATCAGTTTATGGTCTTATGGGCATATATCATTCCGGCAGACAGATCCATCAGATACGTTGAGATTCCAGGATTTTAGACTGAAGCAAAAAGTATACGCCTTGTTGCGGATAGTACTTCCTTTGTATCATGCGGGAAATTCATTTGCTGCGTTGTTAATTACAAAAAAATTAAAAAAGTGTAAAGAAAATGAATTATGAAATGAAGCAGAGTGAAATCTGGAATTGCTGATCACATCGGTATATTCTGTATGAAAAGCAGCGAAAGCTGATTCCTGAAAACAATCCCAGTCTCGGAGCATCCTTAAATGAAACCGATGCACTTTATTTGGTAGTCTGCAGCAATGCATGGTTGTCCTGTAACTGCATCGCTTTTAAAAGTGACTTGCCGCTTGTCAGTGCCCCCCATCTCCCCTCATAGAATCGACGAGGACTGTCGACGACCCGTTTGGTAAGATTTTGGGGGTTTCAAACAGCAAACCAACTTTTCACCAAAGCCATAAATTTTGTCCCGGTGACGCGTCGATCTGCGGCCTCCAATAGGTGGGTATCAGAGGTATTCGACTGCGTATATAAGACACGTTCCCGCTGGCCTCCTAAATAACAATTAAAGAAACAGTGTGCAAACAAAATAATGATAAATTTATGTGTGTCTAACAAGGTGTGACGGGCATGTCCGTAGAAAAACTCGCCTAGGCAAATATTTTATCCTTTGCGAAACTCCCACGCTTTGTCGCGCTGTTCACCGAGCGGTGCGCTATTTCAGATTTAAAAAAAAGAGCAGAAGTGATGTATGTATCAGGTAGACTTGAAAGGGATTGATATATTGACGAAGGTGCTCGTTAATCAGGGTTTTAATGTAGGCGGAACTTTATTGGTTTTTAATTCGTGGCATTTTTCGAAAATCCACAAAGTAATATGTAAATTTATAGAGGGCGGGTGCTTGGGAGTTGCGCTTTTTCGAGCCATTTAAAATTGTGACAAAAAATCCAGAAAAAAGTATATAAAAAAAATGTAAATGAATACTTTGATTGAAAAGTCTTAATGTTGAGGGCGATCGCGTTGTTCGAGGTATGCTGCCGGTTCCCGCGACATTTTGGGGGCCGCTGGTTGATTTAGAACGGCCGCGGAATGAAAACGAATCGGTCGGGCGGTGCTGCTCGAATACAATGGCCACTTTTCACTTAGCATACTCCCGAAATGTCGTCCGTTAGCGACGGAGACATGCACATACATCCCTTGGAAAATAATTGCCCCCTTGCCCCTCGCGCCTTCCTTCTGTCACAATCGGCCCCGGCCTCGTTTGCCTAAATGCTAATAAGGGCCCCCATACAATTCCCAGCCAGACAAAAACTAGCATGCTATTTATTACTGGCTTTATTGAATTTAATTAATGCCCTGGCGAGAGTTTTTTTTGTTTTCATCGTCGGTGAAATTTAGTGCGGCTCGCGCTCATTTGAATGAGGGTGGACTTTTGTATGTTTAAGATCCACGCTAATTAAGGCAGAGCCAAATTGACGTAAGTGGATTTACGGCGAGAACGACAACCCGGTCAGAGAGTGAGGAGCCACACAAGTGGCGATGAGCCCGTCGTAGGATTCTGGCCGTTCTTCGCATGATAACGTCAATTAACACACGGACATATATGGGAAACTGTACGGTGTATATATTACTGGAGTTTCTCAAAAAAATGTGACCTTAAATTATAAAATATTAGTTTTAAGGAGGTATATCGGGTTCACTCAAATGCACCAGATGTACTTGAAATTTATATAGCATATTAGCCAGTGCTCCCTTTGTGCGTCGTATTTTTTTGAATCTAGATTTTGAGTTGTTGAAAATTGTTCATTTTAACATAGGTTTATATGGCGAAGATGAACGGTGCGGCTCTTTTTTTGCCCATAACTGAGAAAAAAATGTAGAAATTGTGAAACAAAACTTTTCCATAGACAGTACACAGTATTATCTTATTTTTGATGTAAACTAATGTAAGTTTTGAAGATAGTACAGCTGTATTAATTAAAAACAGATGACTTGAGGATTAATGTGACAACGTCGCAATCAGCTGACAGCAAAGTGGGAATACATTTGAAAGACTTGATAAAAACGAAATTGATTTCAAACATATACATTTTTCCTAAATCCCATGTACATTGTTATCAACAATAAATTATCCAGAACAGATGATTTTTTGTAATGTTTTTAAAAAACTAGATTAATTAAAGAAGACTAGGAAGCTGTGATATATTTATTGGAATAAAAAATACAGTTGATAAATCCTTTTAATATATTTAATGGTTTATAAAAACATCGTAATCATTACCAAGCAATATTTAGGGTTACATAAAGTTTTCTTTACTTGATTACTATAATTAGTAATACTTGAGATAAAAGCATTTGTACGGAATAATAAATGAACATAAATATTTCTCAGCAAACTTTATATCTAAAAAATTAGTTATAGTTGCAAAACTTTTGTAGCATTACTAAAATAGAGATTAAGAACAGTGAGTATTAATGTAATTTCTATCACAGAACCTTCAAAATTGCATCCAACATTTTCTTTGACTTGGACGAGAGATGGGCGCGAGTGTCATTTCATTTCTTTCGAACTAAATTAACATAATTCTCGTTGTTTTACCAGTTCACATGATTTACGGGTTTTAAATAAAAGATACAAATCTTCGCCAAGATAATACGATATATTTGCTATATATAATAATTATATTGTACATAGTTTACACACAATACATTTTTGAACGCGTACACATCTTTACCCGAATTTGACGCGCAATATCTGCTATGTCCGAGGTCTGTAGGTTCGTAGTGTGTACAACTGCTAGTCAATTATTAGCGTTGTTGCCACATCTGCATAGTTTTTATGCGTTCATTAAATATAATTTAAAACTACTTAAATGTGATATTTTTTGTTGTTAATTAGTCAATATGTATGCTATGTGCACATGAGTAGATTTGTTTGCTATATGGATAATGTTTATCGCAAATAATTTCAATAGAATTTATTTTTTTCAAATTGGCAACGGGTTTTAGCAGAGGTGGATTGGCTGTGCGGGAACTCGGGAGGTTTCCCGATAGGCCGCGGTCATTTTGGGCCAGTCCACGCTGTAGAAGGATGAAAAATATTTTTCTTTCAAAAAACGGGCCGCTTGATGAATGTTTCCCGGGCCTGTTCATCTAGCCAGTCCGCCTCTGGGTTTTAGTCCCATAAGAAAAGCGCTCCTCACTTCCCTCGGACCTCGATGTACCTCCTTAAGGAATTAAGAACTGAGGTGAAATCTTGTCTTCATACTGATAACGACATGAGATACGCATAATTAAAAACATCATATATTTCACACAGTGTACATTTGCATTTAACATAAAAATTTCAAACATATGAAAATATAAACCTTATGCGTTAGGTTTGTGCTCGGTACAGCGAACAACAAAAATGATGCCACCATTTTAGCGATTTCGATCACGTCCTAGATCCCGACGAGCAGATTTACTTCCAGTTACAGTTTAATTCCACGATCGCTAAAAAGATCCCCGTAATTACAGATCCACTAGCGAAAGAGTGGGCAGCTAGTTGCCTTCTACGTCAACTAGCGAAAAGTTTTAAGTTTTATTTCTGCTGGACGTCACATATAATTACCTCAATTAATTAATCTTCTTCTTCTAACCGGATATCACCGATCACGAGGGAAATTATTAAACGCCATCGCTCTTTTCCAGGTGGGAGAAGCAGTATCCGCTACTCGATCTACTCGGGCGATCCAGACGGTTTTTTCAAGATAGACGCAATCACCGGGGCCATTACGACGGCGTCCAACCTGGACCACGAGGCCAGAGCCAGCGTCCTGCTCAACATCCAAGCTACCAGCGGTGATCCGCCTGTATACGGGCATACCCAGGTCAGTATAGAAACCCTCGGCAGCAGCTGTCACCATAAAAAGTTGAAATCAGTATAAAAAATATTTTTAATACTTTACCACAGTAATAGTAAGAAACATTTTGGGTACCGCCGACTGCTTAGTCTAAGCGTTTATTTAAACCGCAATGTGCTGTGAAAAAGCACTGTTTCTGTTTGCTACAAAAAACAGGACAAAAAGCCGACACAGCTTTGTCTTTGGTCACAACTATTGTCCTATTTTTATGTAGTATGTAAGTCAGGACGACTCCAGAAGTTCTCAACAAGTCCTAACAATTTGGAAATGCGTTTCAGGTCAACATAGAGATAGAAGACGTGAACGACAACCCACCGGAGTTCGAGTCCGGCACGGTGCGCATCTCCGTGCCCGAGAACGTCGAGCTGGGCGTCCCCCTATACGCGGCGCACGCCAAGGACAAGGACTCGGGCTCGAACGGCGTCGTCCGCTACGCCATCCTCAACAACGGCGCCGGCGGCCTCTTCAAGATCGACTCCAAGCTGGGCCACCTGACGCTGACCAGACGCCTAGACTACGAAACGGCCCAGCGACACAGTCTGGTCATCACGGCTACCGATATGGGCATTCCTCCGCTATCTGCCAACCTCACAGTGCTCGTCGAAGTACAAGACGTTAACGATAACCCGCCGGTGTTCGAGAGGAGCCAGTATTCTTTGAGTGTTCTGGAATCTTTACCTGTGAACTCGCAAGTAAGTCATTTCCTTCTTGTTTGGTTTAGCGGATTGAGTTGTAAACGCGCCTTAATCCGATTTGTTTGCATTCCGCGATTTGTCCGATTTTGAAGTTGCTTGTGGTGTATTGGTCCAATCCTCAATGCTTTGCTGAAATCGAGGTGCAGGATAATAATTTAAACGAGAGGAGTTCTATTTTTTTTTAATATTTTAGCGATTTACTGCAAAATTATAAAACCTAGGGAAAAACCAAAAAGCAGTTTATCTTTGTAAGTTCAAATTTTTGAAGTTTTCTGATACTGAGATTTTCTTTCTTACAAATTTCACAAATTAACTTAGGATCATTTTTATTACAAGAATTTTTGTCTTGGGAAATATCTGAAAAAATGCTTCAAAACCAATTTGCCCAAAATTTATTACCGATGTTGCAAAATAGCAATAATTGATGAAAAAAAAAGCAAAATAATCAAGTTTTTTGTATAATTTTTTAAAAATATTTTAATTGCTCCGGGGGCATTCTAATTTTGGTAAAAATTTTCAAAATGTTGCACAGCCTCAAATACAGCATCTAGATACTTAAAATTTTTTTCACATAGAAAAGACCGCTCAACCTTTCAAATGGTTATTGAAAAATTGAAGTCGGTTGATTAGGGCCGCCACAGTAAATTTTTAAAGTCTTTTTTTTAATTTTTAAACAATTAGATTACATTTATCAATTTGCAATTTAGTTTTTTCAAAAATTATAATTTTAAAGTACAGGGAAAGACGCTCCTTTTTTTTAAAAAAAGTTAAATTCCGTTTATTAGTTCTCGAGATATAAGCGGTCAAAGTTTATCGGCATTTACCGTTAATTTATAAACAATTTAACAATAGTCTTTGATCCAGTGGCTTCGCTTTTTCAAGTTCTAAGCTGGAAAAAATGCTATCCATAAGTTATCGGAAAAATAGATAAATCAGTGGAAAAGCTGTCGCTCGCACGCTCGAAAAGTGACTCAAAACACGAAAAGTGAGGGAGGGGGCTTTCGCTGAATTCGAAGGTTCAAAATGCGAAGGTACGAAAAAAATTGCATTATCTCGGCTTCTAATGGACCAATATCGATCTTTTTTGTTACTCCGATATCTCGCGAGCCAAGGAATTCGAATATCGTAATACCAACTGTCTAATTTGCACATATTTTGTTATAAACAAAGTTTATTATTTATGCATTAAATATACTGTATATTTTACCCTATGCTATTGCATTTTTTCAATGAAAAAATTTGTATACGTATATATTTCAACACTCTGCATATGAATGTATTTAGTTATAATTATTATAATTATTTAAATAATTTTTGTTTAAACAAATAAAAGAAAAATTTTTATTTGGAAATTATTTTTTTTAAGTATAATAAAATTAAGACAAAATAGTACTTTAAAATTATAAAAAAAACTAAATTGCAAATTGATAAATGTAATCTAATTGTTTAAAAATAAAAAAAAAGAGTGTTAACTTTAAAAATTTACTTCTGTGACCGTCCTAGTCAACCGATTTCAATTTTTCAAAAACCATTTGAAAGGTTGAGCGATCTTTTCTCTGTGAAAAAATTTTCAAGTATCTAGATGCTTTATTTAAGGCTGTGCAACACTGAAAATTCGAAAATTTTTTTTCAAAATTTTTTTAAAAAAATTATTTTGCAAAAACTATCGAACCGTTTCTAATCAAATTTGGTGTGTTGTTTTATTGTACTCTAAAGTTTCTTTTACCAAAATTAAAATGGCTTAGGAGCAATTAAAATATTTTTTAAAATTATCCAAAAAACTTGCCTTTTTTATCAATTATTGCTATTTTGCAACTTTTAACTTACAGCATATTGTGCAAAATTCAATTCTAAAACTTTTTCCTCATCAATATTCTTCCAAAATGCATAGGTTCCAAGATATAAATAAAATACTGAAAATGTTTTAAACATTTTTGCAATTTTCAAAATGTTCCGGACCTCGCCCGGATCTAGGGATCTACACTTTTATTATTTGAGTTGTACTGAAGGTAATCCAGAAAAAATTGGCTTGCCCCCTCTCACATCCACCTCAAAAAAGATCCGCCCTAGTCATATCATCAATATCTTGTAAAAACCTCGAAGAGCCTAGAAAAATAACTTCAAAACACCTTAAAATCCTATCCACAACACCCGAGCTATTTATTTATCAATTAAACGTACCATCAAATGGTGTAATGGCCGCCATCATTAGTAAAACTATTAAATGTGAGATTTTGAGCTTTGCATCGTCACGGAAATATAGGAAGCTACTTATTTGGACATTACTTTTGCCATCATTAATGTTTTATTCGTGTGAGAAAAACAGAAGCAAACAATGAGCAGCACAGTATAATCAAACGATAATTCCTAGAGATAAGAAATGTATACTTAATGCTCTTACAATTAGAGTGGGAAAGTAACAGTGCATTAAAAACCCCTGCTTTTTTTATTGAGTTAATTCGATAAGATTTTCCCGGAGAAAGATTGAATTTGTTCGTAACGCGAAAGCTAGTAATAGATTAAACCTTTTTTTAAGAAACTTACTCGTCACAACAATACACAGTTTGGAGAGAATATTACACAGAGCAGCTCTAAACCGAAAGGGATATCACTGACCTCGGCTAAGGCCATTACGGGTTTAGCATTTTCTCGGAGTATTCCGTGAGGCGGCGATGAAATCGATCGGTAATAGTCCATTTGACGTAATGAGTTAGGCCCTTTCTGACCCCATCGTCCACCATTTATCACGCGCTCAAGGTCGCAACGTCTAGTCATGACGTTTGAGCGAAGTCGTGGATAATCCATCCGTTGCCCCCGTCGATAATCCCGGAGATACGACACTGAAAATCAATTTGTGTGAAGATCTACACGGCGATTACTTTTGAGGCGGACACCGTTTGGATCTCCTGCACTAGAAAAGATACAGAGCTACAGAGCAAGTTGATTTAAGATTTTGGAAAGGTGAAAACAAACCAAACCGCTTCTAGTATCTAAAAACCTGAATTTTCTTATTTCTTCCACATCTTTTTACAACTAAAAGTGATTATTGAAATAAGTTGCCTATTTGTTGCAAACATTTCTCGTGTCTGATTTTTACACCATCAAAAAACGTTATTTTATAATTTATGAAATATAAACCGTCTAAAGTGATACTTTATCCACTAGTGGAATAAAGTAACTTTATTTCTCTGGTAGAATAATGAAAAAATAGTAAACTGATAATAATTCAAATTTAATTTATTTACTACAAAGTTAAACTGAGAAAAATTTATAAATTATTAAACATTTTCTACTTTTTGCCTTTTTTCTTGTCATAGCATTGTTTCTTTTTGTTTTTAATGATTGCAACCTTACTGAAATTATTAGCTAGCTATGTTTCGAATTGGCTTCATTCTACCACATATATCAAACTTCTAATCGTGACCTCCTTGCAAACCATAATTATTGAATTCTACAATCAACCTAAATAACTTCCAAGTCATTTACCACAATCGATACAACAATCCCATTTTCTTTAAACTACGAGGGTGGTTCACATTTCAGTCACCTTTCCTAATTAAAATCTGTAAGCGTCAGTTAAATATCCTTCATCAGAAATCTACGCCCAAAACTAAATTGTGTTCAGACAAAACATTCGACATAATCATACTACAGTCTTACAAATAAAATGATGTATGCTCGTACTGATTCTCCCTCGTAGTTATATTCGTACGCATTTCCTGTAAGCAATTTTTTTTTCGTAAGACAATAATTAGCAATCATTTATACAAACAGATTTGTACCGATGAATGTGGCTGAATAATAACTCGGACTTAATATCGTAAGAACAGATCCAAATATGGAAAAGGGAAAGCTGGCGGTTGTAAAGAATATAATAAAAATAGACGTAATATCGGCTTAATCTAAAATGATTATGGAATATTGTAATCTCGTCTATTAATTACAATATTAGCTTGATGGACGTGACACTTTACTCTGCGCGGTGTCGGGATGGTTTTCAGCAGATTACAGCAATGATTTAAATGAATTTGTTTAATAGAAACATTAATTAATGTTTCGTTTACGTTAATTTTTTTCCAGATCCTACAACTGACCGCCGTCGACGCCGACACCGGCAACAACGCCCGACTGACATACCGCTTAATATCCACGAACTCCTCCGACGATGCTGACATCAAAGACATCTTCGGCATCTTCCCCAACAGCGGCTGGTTGTACCTTCGAGGGAACCTAGACAGGGAGACCAAGGACCGGTACAATTTGGTGGTAGCAGCTTCCGACAACGGTACACCTTCAGAAACAACCACCACGAAAGTTTCGGTCGAGGTGTTGGACGCAAACGACAACGATCCCGCTTTCGTAAAGGATTCCTACGAGTTCAGCATTGAAGAGAATTTGAGAAGGGGCACCGTCGTCGGTAAACTGCAAGCCAAAGACGCGGACAGCGGGGTCAACGCTGCTATAAGATATAGTCTGATTCCCGGCAATGGCAGCTTCCAGATCAACCAGATTACTGGTAAGTCCGCAAGCGAAATATAATCTCCCAGTCCACACTTAATGAAAACAATTAACTGTTTCTGTATAATCCACCTTTCAACTAGAAACTGGCGCTGTAAAGCTTATCAATATCCGATAAGTTTAATTTTATCGTTTACGTATACCCATGCTGATTGCCTTTAAAACCCGTCTACCTACCATCTGCTTACCTTGAAATTATTTGAATAATATTATTTGGAGTCGAGATCAATTCTCCTTAAGTTACACTTTAATCACGTTACATATTCTCCCTTGGTCGTAACGGATTGGAGGATTGAGGATATAATAAAATCATTTCGAAAATATTTGTTTTGTCCCGGATAAAAGCGCTATAAAAAATCGGAGGCAGAGGCATTAGCCGAGCAAACAGACTCTTCGGCTAAATAAAGGCATATTTGTTTTTCATTTACTTTGTTTAACCACTCGCGGTGTTTGTTTAACAATACACGAATTTGCTATTAACCTATAATAGACGGATACAACCACAGGCGTATAGAGATATCTACGCACACATTTTGATAGAAAATTCCTCGGATAATTGATTTCGGGCAAATATTGACAAGGATGTACAGGATGTAACGAAAATGCTTCCCCAAAATAGTTCTTGTAGATGGAATGGTTTTTTTAATATCTGACTTATCACAATAATTCGAAAAAAAAATTTTGGTACCGCTGACTATCGATAGCAAGGCTAACTCTGTCTACAGGTCTTATTACTGAGCTATTTTAGTATATTTATTCGCAGTTATTAACACTAAAATTGAACTAGCAATGTTACTGTGTTCTACAAAATATCTGGCCAATGACAGTTCTCCAGTGGTCCCCAATAAGTTTAAACAATTTTGGTTACTATTAATTTTAAGCATTTTTTGAAGTTGCTACGGTTACGTTTATTTGAAATACTATTCACCATTAATAAATCCTCTAAAGCTTTATAAACCTCTGTATAGTTTTCGTAGTATTTAATCCCGGTATCACTGTTAGCAGGCATAGTAGTTGAACATCGTTGTAAAACGGCCAAAATACGATCAGAGGAAGCCTCGTAAAATGTTATTCCTGTTGCTAGCAGCGTTTTATTAAGGTTAACATACTGTTTTATTGTTCGTGTACTGCCAACAATAAAACGCTCAGACGAAGAAAAAACGTTTAACTTATTTTTAAAAGTCGTCGCTTTTTTAATGAATTTTTAATCTTTTCTTCATAAAAGGGAGTTAATTTTATAGTTTCTGCAAGCTACAAGTTTTACGAGCCGCGCAAATAAAGTCTACTACGCTCATTGTTGGAAGGCCATATTTAAAACTTAACATGTAGAAGAAATATTTGTCCTTTAAGAAACTGCGGGTAGAAATGAAAAAGATAGGCATACTAGGCAAGAGGAAACACACCGTATATTTCCGGGATTTTGCGAGGTTCTTATCGACATTTCCTTTTTCAAAGATTTTTAACTTGTTTTACAGTTAATTTGTCGATTAAATCGGCCATAGATCAAACGTAAACCGTCCGTCGGATTTTCGGAGAGCCGAAAACCGCCAAAAACTAATCCTCCGCGTTGTGATGTAGATGAGCTTAAACACGGAGCAGGCCGTGGGGCCTCGGCGATAATTAACGAAATAAGAACGAAATTTATAGTGGGCTAAACCTCGAGAAAATTAAAGCCGGTCCGCGATGCGTTGGTCACGCGTAAATCATATTTAGTACATCACGGATCAGATTACGACTATCGGGACGAGATAAATGCTGTACTTAATCGTATTAAAGTCCATGAATCAATCCGTGATGCAGGTTCAATGCGCCACTTTCATAGATGTTATAACTCAATTCCTTGTGCCTCGAATTTACATCTTCCTGGATGTCATATCGTGAATTTCTTGCCCTTGACGTGCCGATTCCGCTCGGGACCGCACCGTCGAGGCAGCGGCGTATCGCGAAAAGGCTCACCGTACACTTAATTAAAAAATTATACGTATTTCGTCGTACAAAGAGAATCTACGTGTTGTTTTTCTAATTTAAACACTTTGTATCTCAAAAACGCAGCATTTTCTTGTTTATATGAACCTTTTCTTACAATTCGGGACACCATGAACACAACATCTCACTACTCGTCAGTTAAATACACTTAAAAGTGCATAAAAGGAAAACGCCGTCCGTGAAAATAACAAATCTACATAACTACGTCATTCCGGTGGAATGTAAAATTCCCTGGACAATTCCTGCGCTCGACGCCACTGGCAACGCCCATAGAAGGGACGCAGTGGTGTATTCATCATGCGAAATTGGATTCTGGGTTAATTGAGTATAAAGCTCAAACACGATCCTTATTTACGATACTTTACGTGAATATTATTGTTAAGAAATTATAGTGAAGTTATTTATGATATTTATGCTTCGCTGCACGTTGCGCTACGTATACTGACTTACGACCGACCTGCTCCTATACCCGCTGGCCTACTAACAAATATTATAAACAAATTAAGTTAACTCGAAACGCATCTGTCGTTTATTGAAAAATAAAAATGCGAAATGGTTCAAAGCAAATGAAAATGTAATTACTTAACAAAAACATTAACAATATTATCGTAAAATAAATACGCCTAGTAAGTACGTAATAGTTTGGCAACTGAGTTCACAGCCCAAGGCTGTCAAAAGAACGCCTTAATTTCATTCAGTATTTCCACAGCGACGAATCGGGAATACTGAGGCCGAAACCTGACGCGAACGAAAACAAAAAACTTCCAAGGCTGTCGTATCGGAAATTAGTTGCAATTAAAACGTCGCCGAAGTGGTGAACCTAATCAGTTCAAGCATTTCTGATAGAAATAGGAGCCCTGCGATCCGCAGAGTTGATCATAGAATACGTAAGGCGTAGCTGTACGGTGTTCCGACGAAAAAATCCGATTAGTGATGGTTGTGGGGAAGCGTTTCACACAGGGTTGCCAAATTGGAATTTTTCTCGCAATTTTGGGGATTTTTTTCAGGGAGAAAATTTGCTTGATGTAAAATGTGCGTAGGAATATGTGGCTTATATTTTACAGAGTAAATTTTTGAGGGGAAATACGGGCAAGATGCATTTTTCTTGTTTAGAAATATTGTTTCCAAATTTGTTTAATTAATAAATAAATAAAAACAATATTTTTGTCCATACATAAATGATTTATTTGTATCAAATATTAAATGTCAATAGCAATAACTAACGAAAAAAAAACACTTTAAATTAATTAAAATATGATTAGACCAGTGAAATTCCTGCACTGTAATAACAGTTTGTTTAAAGAAGATACTACACGCAAAAAAATTTCTTGCTTCAAATGTGCAACATTTAATTTTAAGGTTTATACATATATACGCAAGACAATATTTTCTTCTTTCAAGAAAATTATTTATTTATTTAAATACTTTAAATTTCTACTCAGAAATATAATTTCTTACTTTAAAAATAGACAGCTTTTCATATTTAACTAAGGTTAAACGAATTCTGTTCTTAATTTTATGATCTACATAGATTTTATAGAAACATGTTTTATATTGTATACAATTAATGTATCATTTGTTTAATACAAAATTGAATAGTTTTGGTCAAATGATTGTATATAGGTACTTATTTTAAGAATATATTTTGATATAAATATTTCAAAGTAATAAAAATTTTTTTTTCCAAATTCACAACACTTAGTACAACAGCTAGGATCGTTCGTAAGTTTAACCAACCAGACATAGGTCGGTTTGGGACTTATTGATAGTCTTCATCATTATGTCGTTAGAACGATCCAGCTGCTTACTCACATGGAGACGTGTATACATAGAGCGTAAGTGGCTCCATCTATCGTGCTACTTCCTACTTACGCCATTCTGTGACCTGCTACAATTTTCTTTCAAGAAAACAAGTTTGATTATAATATGCTACATTTGTCTTGAATAATTCCTACATTAATACTAAATTTTAAATATATGTATATTTTAAGGAACTGGTAGTTTGGAAACAAATATGTTTACAGTTTATGATGAACTGTAAGAGATATTGTAGCTAAAATCCGAGATAATAAATTTCAAAACTATAAAAGATTCGAATTAAATTATATATATTTACAAATAATATAAATTCTAAGAAAAATTATAGATTACAGCATTCCACATAGTTTGACGAAAGTATATACATGTGAATAGAATAAAATAACATTTATTTTTTTTTCACTGTATTAGGTACTTGTTTTTATATTTTTCGAAAAAAAATTGAAAATATAATTTTGAGAAAAAAAAAATTAAGGGAGATTCGCATAAAACTAATCTGGCAATCCTGATTTCACACTTCCACTTGCTTTATCTCCAGTACTGACCGTAAAAACGGTTGTTCTCGTTGGTTTAATGATACCATTACACTTTTTATGTGGCAGTACGTAGTCTCTCTGGAACATAATTAAATTTGATTCGAGGTGTAGACAAAAAACTTTGGAAATGTAGTGCAAAATTATGATTCACATCGCGTCTTGGGGGTCAGGGACGGTGATCGATATTAAATCGAATTTTGCTGAAAAAACGCAAGGTTGGCGGTTGTTACTTGAAACAATTGAATGGCTTCGACGTTGCCAATAACAGCCAGTGTCCAATAATATTAATATTATTAATTATAGGACACCCTGTATAACATTCAGCAACGGCATTACTTTTCCAATCTTCACTGTGAGCAAACCACCAGCTCACATCGAGGACATTGCTCGAAAATCGCGCCAGTTTCGAAAATATTGTAAATTTCCTCACCGACAGCTCCCCTTTGCGCCGAAGAGATAGTGCCGGCCAGTTTCGTGAGTGAAATGAAAAAGGCACGCGGTCCGCTATCAAAAGACCCGTGTTCTGATAACCCTAATTGAGGGCAGCGCCATCGACGCCGGCAGCGCTGCTATCGGTGGGATAATTTAATATACCGGCAATAATTGGGCCACAAAAAGTGTGTTGATTGGGCCAAAGTAGTTATAGAAAGTGTCAACG